TACTGATAATGCATCCACTGTGCTACTTATGTCCATGAATGTTTGAACTATGACATTATTTCCCCACCAGAACTGTGGAGCTCACTGTTTAGATTGTAAAATGTATTGCTATAAGAAAATATTCATTACCTCACAAATGACCCAGTAGTGTACATAGCATTGAAAAACAAGCTCCCGATAATGCCACAGACATGTGGCTGATATCTATTCAACTGGTACAGCCATACAGGCGCGAGAACAAGGAACTAAAGCCTGTTTTTCAGGTAGTCCCTATTCCTAAACTGTAAAGTGCTAAATCACACCCATGCATCTTAATTGGTGTTTTGGAGAGAAGGGCTCCAAAAAAACTTCTCCCTTCAACTTTTATTGTAAGACACTTTCAATCGTTTCACGCATCTTAAAAAAAGTTAATTTCTTTCTTGATATTATAAAAAAGTAAGATGTACTTTTTTTCACCCTTAACTTTTAACAATGATACAGCTACATTAAATACCTCCATGTCAATCAAGAAAGGGTAAAATTAAAAAAAAAAATAGTTTAAACAATATAAAGTGTCCTACATTTTGAATTAAAAAATATTTCTAGAAGATTTTCTACAAATAGGATCGGAGGAAGCATATCTTTGATGTGTGTATGCTGGTTTTTTTTTTTTTGGGCCAAAAAGAGCTCGAGGCTGTAATAATAATTTCTCCAGAGAATATGACTTTATTAATTTAATACACAAAAAATAGGAAGAAATCATGACACATTATCCGCCAAAACAACTTTTTTTTAACAAACAGTGCCAAAACTACTTGTATGACCTACTTCAACCAAATCACCAATCTATTTAGCACGAATGCTCAGACTACAATTCAAGTCAATTGCTAAATTCGGCCAAGGATGCGATCAAATACTTTCTTCTCAAACATTTATTCTACTGTCTCAAGCATATTACTGGACCGAAACCAATAAACTCCATCAAAAACACATTGGCTTTAAGGTATTATAAAAAACACGGATAAGCTTCAAAAACATTAAGCCACCTGTACCACTGGAACTTCTCCATCCGAAGACAGGACCAGAGGTTCGAAGGGTCCAGTTTGATCGAACTGAAACTGACACGATTTAGCTCCACCGAATTTCTCCCTCTTCAATTCTGGTTCCTCCTCCTCGTCCTCTTCTTCGTCGTTATCCACGACCTCACTACTTTTCGGTTCTCTTTCCCGCTTAGGTGAATTGTGAGGCTGAATTAGGGGAGGAGCAAGTGGGTCTTGCAGGCGACGAAGCTGCTGGGTGAGAGAGGATTTTGGGGGTTTCCTAGGGATTGGGAGGTCGGAATCTCGGAAAACCGAAGACTGCTTTCGGCTCACCGATGTAGATGACGGTTGGCTTGTGCAAGGCTTGAGAGTTTCCTTGAAAGCGTACAGTGACATGGAAGAGGAGAGACTTTCTGAGATCGGCTTAGCTCCTGAAACTGCGGGTAGGATAACAGAACAGTGTTACGAGATTTCGTTCTTTCCTGAAAACGACGCACGCATTTTTCTTTTTCCAAAAGTTCAAGGTGACATTGCAAATTGCCAGCTTATTAACCGCCAAACAGTTTCTGATAAATCAACGCCCATAATTTCTAAGAGTATTAATTACAAAATTAATAATTTCCAATATTAATCGTGGAGTGCGGAGTAATCAAGGGTAACGTAAGTGGGCACTTTCTTTCCACCATCTTCCGCTCTTTTTCCTTTCTAGCCATTAAATTAATATTTAAATAATTTAAATTTGATCTTCTATAAAATTATTATTAAAATATTAAATTATAAAAATATAAATGATAAAATTTAAACTACTAAAACTTAATAAGAACAATTCAAAAACACAGTAAAAATAAAATAAAATGAAATAAAATGTTCTGAAGGATATCAAATTTAATTATCTAAAATTTTGATCTAATATTAATAATTAAGAAGAGGAAGAGAAAAGGATAAAAAGGAAGAGAAGAGAATTCTTTCCCGTTGTAAATAGGAGGGATCAAAATAATCTTAATTTTGAAAGAAACTTTTTGCTCACCTCTATTGGAATATTTGAAAAGAACATTGCAAGTTGATTTATTCCCAAGACCACCTACCTGACAACAATAATCTTCACCTGCACTTAAGGCATTATCAATGACATGCACCTTCAATCTCATCTTGGTCATATGCAGATAAATTAAGACAGATCTCTCACTAAATGGACACTACCAAAACCTGACTGGGTCAAATTAGATACAAATGGTTCTATCTTCAATAATGGAACTACTTCTTGTGGTGGACTCATTTGGGATGACCAAGGCAACTGGATAAAAGATTTACTAAAAAGCTTGGTTATCACCCTAGCATAGCTGCAGAGCTTCTTGGTATATTTGAAGGTCTTATTCTTTGTTGGAGAAGTAATTTTAAGCAAGTTAGTATTCACTTTGATTCATTAGAAGCTCTGGCACTTATCCAATCTAAACACAATTTGAATCATCCTCTCAGTTCCACAATAGAAGAGATTAGATGCCTCACCATGAAGGATTGAATTATCACCTTCAACCATGCATTTAGAGAATCCAACAAATGTGCAGATTGGCTTGCTTGACATGCCACAAGCAATAATTTTGATATTTTAATTTTTGACGTTTCCTTCCAGGATGTTGTCCTTTTATGGGACTTGACTTGATTTAATTCTTTTCCTTTGCACGGCTTGCCATGGCCTTGTAATTAAAAAAATAATCTTAATTTTGTTGTCTGAAGTTTTGTAAAGTTTGAAACATTACAACCGTTGATTAAATCAAGTCATAGAATTATGCCTCACAATAATTGAGACGTTGTGTTTTAAATGAGTGGGAGTGATTTTTATATAGAAAATTTTGGTGTCAAAATGTTTCTAGTTTTTCCTTCCATCTGGGAGTGCAAAGACATTGACCAACTCTAAAGTTCATGTCAACATTTGCAGAAATTTATATTCTCCCATTATCAAGAGACAAATAAAATAAATTAAACCATGTGGGATTATTATAAGTTTCCCTAGCATATTTTTTTCCTCCAAACTTTTGAATAATTCACCACACAAGCGTGTTATTTTGAAAAGGGCAGGGGCATAGAGTCATACATTGCTATGCTATCACAGTTAATAATGAGTAACATTGTAGTAGCAGTGGTAATGTTTTCAACAAGATAGACATCAGCACAGAGAAGCCCCTCCAAACAAAGCGTTTTAATTATTGTGTGGCATGATTCTGTGATTTTATTTAATGGAAAGCTGTAATTAATGAGAGACAATAATTTGAGTAAGATAGGTATATTCATGTCTGGCTTATTTGAACTAACTTGAATAAATTTAAATTTAAACAGAAGCCAGAGTAATCAAATTCAGCATGAACTTCAAGCAGGCTTGAATCCTTAAATTATTAAAATTTTATTTTAATTTAATTTTTTACTTTATTTTTATTTTATAAATACAAAATATATTTTTTTGGGACATTTAAATGATGTAAAAGACTCAAATTTTTTTTAGGTCTTAAAATTTAAAAATTAATATTAAAATATATTGTAAATATTATTTTGAAATATTTTATAGATTAAAACAATATTTTTAATTTTTTTAAAAAACATCTATAACAATGTACTTCAATATATGATATTTTAATATAAAATGATATAAAATTTAAAAAAATTTATTAATATTTATTATATTTTATATATTTTTTAAAATAACTTTTTGTATTTGGATATTCAAGTCAAACCTAAACCAAATCGGACTTGGCCCAAATGTTTTCTAATGTATTTAAGTTTGCTTAAATGGGTCCACATATTAAAAAAAAAACATAATTTTATTAAATGTAGCCTTAAAATTTTTTCACGTTTGTTCATGCCAGCTTGAATTATCAACTTTAATTATAATGCTTCCAACTTCACCAAACTTCATACAGTAAAATTCAGACGATCCTGGTCCAAGTAGGAGTATTTTACTATAATGCACGATGGAAAAAAATTTTTTTTTTCCAAATAATTCGACAATATGATTTAATTATAATTCTATACTTATTTTTTAAAACATCAATTTTCCACCGGCACGGTTTTTTTTTTCTTTGACAAATTAAATATGATACAACCAGGAAATGTATATTTTCTTTCGAAAGGTTTGAATCTTTAATCTAGCTTTATGCTTGATAGATATTAAGCTCCCTGATGGTCGATACCACCTTCTTCCCCAAACCCCCCCCCCCTAAAAAAAAAAAAGGTTCTTTGATTAGTCGATTCAACTACAGTCGATATTTATCGTGACAATCTAAGCTGCAATAAAAAGAAAATGCAAGATTATACTCATTTGACTATAATTATAAGTTATTTTTAATAAGTTTTACAGTATAAAAAAAATTTAAAACTCATTAACTTCATCTTAAAATTTAATAAATTTTTAACTTTATCCCTTGTCTACTTAAAGGGATTATTTTCAATTAAATCAAAACATTTAATTTTTTTATAAATTTTTTATTATATAATAAACTCTTAATATTAATATTATTTCACTTTTTTTAATTTAATTGGATGAAAATATATTAAGTATATAAGATTAATGTACCTAAATCTTACCCTAATTATAATTATTAGTGATAATGAAAATACAAACACATTTTTTAAAAAAATCATCTACTTCCTTTTCAATCAATTTCTCATCATTCGGCTAAAAAAAAAAAATCAATTTCTCATTCACTTAAAAAATATTAACAAATTTCTAGGAGACCCAAATTTCGGTGCAACAGTACGTTACCGTTGGGTCTCTTGCATGTTGCCATGTGGAAGTAACGCTGATTTAGAGCATGGAAACCACAAATCAAAACAAAACGCACGCTCCCTCAGCTTTGAGACACTGCATACATGCCAACCCTCCAAAGCATATTTCACGTCGCACTCCACAACGGTCACCTTCCATTTCTTTCTACAATCTCCGTTATATAGTGCCAGTGTGCGTGTATCGCTCATTAACTTCTCTGTGAAATGGGTTCTGAGTCTGGCAGCAGGTTCCCAGGCTTTTTGATCTTCATGTTCATATGGCTTCGTTTCTCGGCACCGTCTGAAGCGCACGAGTTTCGCGTTGGTGGCAAAGATGGCTGGGTAACGAAGCCTTCGGAAGACTACAATCACTGGGCCCAGAGAATCAGGTTTCAAGTCAATGACACTCTCTGTGAGTCCAGTATTCTGTTTCTCCGTATTATATATATATATATATATATATCTCAATGTATAATGCAATTTCTCTCTTCATTGATTATCACTATCATTTTGGTCGATGATGTAGATTTTAAGTACAAGAAAGGGTCTGATTCGGTCTTCGTGGTGAAGGAGGAGGATTACGATTCGTGCAACACCAAAAGTCCCTTGCAGAAGATGGAGGATGGACAGTCATCTTTCATTCTCAATAGGTCGGGTCCCTTTTACTTCATCAGTGGGAAATCCGAGCATTGCCTAAGGGGCCAAAAACTGATCGTCGTCGTTATGGCTGTGAGACACAAACCACATTCACCTCCTACTCCGGCGCCGGCGACACCGCCTACTGTGGCACCATCTCCTGAAGCCGATATGCGCAAAGCCGGTTCACCATCTCCATCGCGGTCGGCTAGTTCAGGCCCAGGCCTGGGGCTCGGTGGTTCGATATTAATGGGGTTGGCTTTTGGGGTTGGCATTGGGATGAACTTGATCTTCAGGAGCATTGACGGGCTAATTTAGTTGTAATGGACGTTGAAGAAGTCACCTCTAATTAGTTGATTGCCGGCTTCGACTTTCTTTTTGAATTTGGACGGATAATGGTGTATGGATTTAATTATTTTGAATAAGACTAATCTCATAGTTTACAAGGAAATGAATTCGAATCTTATTGATATACCTCCTTCCAAATTATAAGATAATTTCGGAGGTACTTTGAATATTTAAATTCTCTCCATACTCTCAATACATTTTTACATACCAAATCCAATTTATTCATTTAATTATTATTTTGGTTTAATGGTGTGAGATTTGCTAATTATGATGCTAAAATAAATAGATTATTCATTATCATCACTTAAATGCTTTTGAAAATAAGATTATACTGCTTATTAATAATAATCATTAAATGAATATTGTATTTATTTAATGTCAAGATTAACAATCTCACACCATTAAACAAAATGAATAATTAAATGGATTGATGAGATTGAAACTGAGATTTGTATTGAGGAAGGGTATAGAGAGGATCCAAATCCTTGTCCCAAATTAAATATAATATCATATAATTTAACAAAAATAAAGTTTCATTAATGATATTTTTAGATTTGGACTTGGTGACTGTATTTAATATAGACACTGAGTGCATGTAGTATTTAAATTGTTGAAATTCATATTAATAATTCTAAATTCATACTTCACTTGAAATTAATAAATGAGTGAATTTATATAAATATTTGGTTTGTATTTATAACAATCTAAATGTTATAGGTACTTGGTGCTCATATTAAGTACAATTTTTGAATCTAAATCTAATATTTTTTCAATATTATCCTTCAAGTAGAGCAAGGATTAAAATGATTATAGTGTAATGATTAAATATATAGATTTAAAATTATAGTAAGTAAAAGGTATTATTAAAAGTTTGTAGTTTTGTTTTAAAAATGTAAGTTTGTAAAATTGCATTATTAAACTTTATTGATATACATAATCATCTCTTAAATTATTTTATAATTTCGGGATGGGGTATATGAGAATCTTATCCTAATGACATATATACTCCCTCCATTAAAAAAATATAAAAAAATTTTAGTTAAGATGACAAAAAAAAAGGCATTTTAGGTTTTTTAAGTGTAATTAATGAGTTTTTTTTTTTCAAAAATAACTTTAATTATGAGGGGTATAATTAATAATGTTTTTTAATTAAGGAAACTTCTTAAATGAGGGTAGACATAGAAAAAATGTAAAATTTTAAAGACAATTAACAAATTTGTTAAAAATAAAATTTAATTAAAAATACCTTATAATATTAATCAGAGCGATGACACACACACACACAAGCATCTAGACCTTGATGAGTTTTATAGTTTAGGCTAAATTATATATTATTTTCCTGAACTTTAAACCATACACACATGACTTTTTTAATTTGTGAAACTTTACAATGAATCCTCCTCAATTCTTATATTTATGTAGATAACTTTATATAATTAATTTTTAATTAATTATCTACACATAATTTAAAGTTTGGGGAGATTATTCGTATATCAATCAAAGTTTATGAGTTTAAATGCACATAAAAATAAAATTTAAAGAAGTATCTAATTAATAGTTAAGGGTTATTTGCATAAGCATGGAAACTCAAAAATGTTTATTATTAATTTTAAAAATTAAAGAAATTATTTATATATGATTCAAAGTTTAAGAAAGCTGTATATAATTTAGCCTACAGTTTAAACTCACAAGGTCTTTTCTGGCAAAGAAAAAAAAACACTCACCAAATTTTCTTGCAACAAAAAAATAATATTATTTTTAAAAATATTTTTGTCCATGTTAATTAATGTATTGCCTTGAGATCTGGATCATTTCCACGCCCACTCTTAATACGGTACCTTTTTTCATATTTAATCTCATATAGACATTTAATTATTTATTTGATTTAATAGTGCTTCTTTATTTTCAAATAAAAGGAAAATTCTATCCTACAATTTTTATAATAAGAAAAATTATAAATTTCAATAAACATTAATTATATTTTCTCCAAATTTTCTTGCATAAATGAAGATTTGGATTCAGAGATTGTACTTAGTACAGTCACTAATTGTATGTAACATTTAAATTATTAAAATTTAGATTAATGATTCTAAATTCACACTTAAACTAAGATTAATGAATGAGTAAAATCATTTGAACTGTTGATTTGAATTTCAACAATTTAGATGCTATAAATACTTAATGCCTGTACTAAATATAGTTTGTCAATCCAAATCCACATTAATGGATAGTATCATTAATTACAAGGGCATTTTAGTTCAAGTGTTTCAATTTCACACAATTATTATAATCAACTAATTTTTTTAAAACTGTATGAATTAGTTGAAATTCTCCTATATTCAAAAACAAAGAGAGTATTAGATTATTAATGGTAGAATTAAAATAAATATATCATTCATTTAATGACTATCATAAAGAACTATTATGATCTTGTATTATGCCAATGCCCCTCTCCATACTTTAGCTTTTTAATTTTTCATTTTCATTTAATGGTCATGTATATTTATTAGGGAAAATTTCAGTAAATACTTCTTGACCAGGCTTAATTTTAGGCAAAGTTTCTAAAATTATGAAATTTCTCCGCATATATGGTGGACTAACATAAAATTAAAAAACTAACTGAATTATTATGCTAGGTAAAGTTAGGTGCATAAATAACTCTTGTAAAAAAATTAACAATTGATATATGAAAACTAAACAATTAATGTAAGTAAAATTTGCAGTTCTCCCTAACAATATAACACCATTATAAATATAAACAAGTGAAGTTAGGCACATGAATAATTTATGTAAGAAAAATGAGCAACTGATGTATGAAAAATGAATGATTGATGTGGGTTCACAGCGGTGTCATGTTGTTAATGAGAATTGTAAATTTTACTTACATCAATTGTTCATTTTTCATATATCAATTGTTAATTTTTCTACACGAGTTGTTTGTACACCTAGCTTCACTAGAGACAATAATGTCATTTCAACGAGCTCTTTAATTTCATTTATGTCCTCTACACCAACATATGTGCATTGAAATTTTAAAATTTTAGAAATCTTGATTGAAATTAAGAGCCGTTTTGTTTAAGATTAAAAAATAAGTGATTTTTAAGTAGTTTAGAGATTTTATAAAAAGCAGATATTATTTTTGTTTGGTTACAATAATAAAAAAGTAACTATTAGTTATTTTTTTAAAATTTTATTATATCTTCTTTGATTTTTATTTTATAAAAATAATTTATTATTACATTATTTTAAAATTTTATGATATATTTGCATATCATGCTTTTTTAAAATACTCTATCTTATCTATCGTATTAGATTATTTTTTAAAAAATAAAAAAATTATTTTTATTATTTTCAAAAATAAAAAATATGCTTTTTTATTTTGATTATTTTCAAAAATTTAAATAAACATAATAAAAACTCATAAAATAAATTTTTAAAAAATAAATAATTTTTTCATGAAATAAGCTAAAACAAACTGCCCTAAATTAGGTCAAGATATTCTCATTAAAATTTTATATATTTATTATTATCGCTTAAATGGTTTTTAATGTAAAGAATACACATGTTTTTTACTGTAGTAATTAAATGAATTATAGATTTAGTCTTCCACCGTTAAGTCAAATATGTGGATGGGATTGAATATAGATAAATCCAAATTCGCAATGTTACTATTACACTCATCTCGTTGGCCCAAAAAAAAAAAAAATTACTCTCATCTCAAATTATATTTAAAGCACACATATAATTGGGTTTTCCCCCTTTAACGCCAATTTCTAAACATGCGTTGCGGAGCAGCTAGCACATGGTGCTTAAAATTAACGATCATGACCCGTTAAAATAGAAGCGGATCTGGTGGATCACAAGTGTTCATGCATTGCCATTCGTAAAACAGAATCACTATTTCTCAGCTGCCTCCAATCTCACCTCTAGAATTTGCCTGTTGCGAGATCGAATCCAGTATCCAAATATATATATATGTATATATATCTAGGGTGAAACAGGGAGCAATAGATGGACATTGCCAAACACTTGTAGCTTCCATGCACCAACCCCATAAATAATATAGCAAACCCTACTAGCCTCACCTTTTTGTTATCGCCAAAACTCCCTCCTATGTTGTTATCTTGTTCTTCTATCTCCGTGATCAATTAGTTCATTCATTGGCACATCAAGATGAAGTTTCGTCTTGTGATAATTTTGCTCGCCATGGCCTTGGGGTCGTTGTCGAAATCAAAATCAAACGGCATATTTCAGAGGGAAGCGAAGCAATATTTAAGACCACGAGAGTGCAATGGATTAATGCAGGCAGATTGTTACGACAATATCAAAGGAATGTCATTATTGATGAGACCTGCTGGCAGGAGCAGATCTCGAAACCTTAGGACCGTGGGGTTCATAAGCTACGATGCTCTTAGGAAGGATAGTATTCCCTGCAACCGACGTGGAAACTCTTATTATAATTGCAACGAACGTGGCAAGGCCAATCCTTATCGCCGTGGCTGCAGTGCCATTACGCATTGCGCAAGAAGCACAGACTGATTCATCTCCCAATCATTCACTGCACCTGCAATATTCAACCACAGTATTTTCATCCAATTTTTGGTTTTTCTTTTTCCTTAATCTTAGGCGTCGCCTACTTTTTGAAGTTTAATTAGATTTTAGAATGAAAGCTTAACAAAAATAATGAGCCCTTTAATTCAATTCAAATTAAATGTACAAATATCCCATTTGTTTTCTTTAATCTTGACATCTGAATCTCTTCTGTTTTCAATTTGTTTACACATGGATGTATACAAAAAACCAAAGTTAGATTGGTGATGTAGCGCTAGGATATGGGAATTAAGCCTCTAGTTCTGTAATTGATGTGTAATTAGTGGATATGTATGGCCAATGCAAGGTTATTTACAATATTTTTGCCTGCTAGCATTTATCAATAATATCCTCGCTCACTCCTTCGCATCGTGCTCTAAACTTCTTGGCTTTGCTAAATCCTATTCCTGTCCCACCATGTCTTAAGATTTGAGAATCTGCGGCTCTGCAAAAAGGTGACTTCATAATTCCCTTCGAAAAAATACCAACAATTTTTGCTTGATGTTTTATTTTAATTATATATTATATATTTAAATAATACTTTATCAATAAAAATGATTACAAATATACGCTATAATTTCACGTTATTATTAGTTGATTGATATTATTCTGCAGAAAAGCACATTCATATACTGGCAAAAGCAATTTATTCGTAACGTGACTCGAAGGGTCCTATCATTCCTCCAAAGATCACAGAGGAATCGAACCATTTCGATAGGAGTTTTATTGCCCAAAAACCTGCCAAGTGACACAAAATATTCAAACTCGAGCAACAGATATCCAAAGATGAAATGAAATCATAGCGCTTCACAAGATCCTAATAAATCATACTAATAATAACGTTTCCGCTTTCCCAAACTATAATTTGAATATCCAGGTCAAGAACTATAATTTGATTTAGTTTTCCAGGAGGAGGATGATCCCGAATGAAAAAGGTTTCAAGCGACGTTTTAGGCTTTTAGTTTTCCCAAGCTGAGCAAATTGATGGGCAGTAACGAAACGAGGCGTCTCTGTTTCTCACTGCATCTATATAATTGACTGCTCCGCTTCATACCCTTGGGAAGCCAAGAAGATGGATTCGCCGTCGTCGTTATCGCGACTGAGAATAGATCAGACGTTGTCACCGCCGCAGTCGGTGGCTGAAGGCGGCGTACCATTGACGAGCTCACCATCCAAGTTTAGTCTATTTTTGAAGAACAAGCAAGTGACTGATACGATGGCTCTAGTGGCAGACTTATGCCGACAATTCTACACAATGGGTTGGGTTTCAGGTACTGGAGGAGCTATGTCTGTCAATTTGCGCCACCTCGGCCTCATCGTCATCACCCCTTCTGGTTCATTACTGGTCCTTCTTTATATATATGCCTCTAACAAGCTTACTCTATTCACTTCATTGCCTGAAAAATATGATTGTATTTAATTACAAAGGGGTTCAAAAGGAGAGAATGACAGCAGAGGACATGTTTGTGGTGTCTTCTGACGGCTCTGATTTGTTAACACCTACTTTTAAGCCATATCCTCACAAGCCTCCAAAGCCTAGTGACTGTGCTCCTCTGTTCATGAAGGTAAACACACCCTCAAACTCTGTTTATTTATTGGTTAGCTTACTCTATGGATTTAATTGCTTTTATGGTCTTTTCATTCTCTAAATGGACAGATTTATGAGATGCGCAATGCTGGTGCTATTATACATAGTCATGCAATAGAGGCTTGTCTTGTATCTGTGATCAAGCCTTTGTCTAGAGATTTTCGAGTAATTATTTTTTCCCTTCATTTACTTGTAGAATTATTGCTATTAGGAGTTAGTTTCTGCATCACTTGATTTTAAATTTGAAAGAGTGAATGAAGGATTTTCCTTCAGTACGGATTTTTCCACTGATTAGCAGATCAGTCATATGGAAATGATAAAAGGAATTGAAGGACATGGGTATTGTGATGAACTTATCATTCCAATAATTGAGAATGCCGAACACGAGAGAGCGCTGATAAATTCTATAACTGAAGCGGTATGTCATTTCTTCCCCCTCTTTTCTGTTCACAGATTCATGATGTTGTTTTCAATTCTCTATCTTTTTCTTCTTACTCCATTTAGCTCGAAGCATACCCTAGAACAACTGCAGTGCTAGTACGCAATCATGGAGTTTTCATATGGGGAGAGTCATGGATTAAGGCCAAGACGCAGGTCAGCGTGCTTATTTATTGGTTGAGTAAGAAAAATTGTTATGCGTTTTTTTTTTAAAAAAAATTACTTCATATGTATCAGGCTGAGTGTTATCATTATCTATTTGATGCCGCAATCAAGCTTCATCAGTTGGGGCAGAACTGGTCTACGCCAAGGAATGGCCCCATCGAAAGATCATCAATATCATAGATAGTATCAGATGCGAGATTCTGCATTGAGATTTGAGCATATGGGTTTTAAAATGTTGATGCTTTTTAATCTGAAAATCATCGAACCAATTATGTAGATGGTGTTTTTTTTTTTTTCCTTTCCAGTTGTCAACTTTGAGCAATTATCATGTTAAAAAGTAACTAGGCTTGGATTAGCTTCAGCACTGGACGTCAGTTTAAGCTCAGGTAATTGTTTAAGCTTTCTGTTGTAAGTTCCCGATAAGTGGTGTAAATATAGTCTCTGTACTCAACTCAGATAAATAAAGCACTCAGTTTCATTCAATACTCTTTGTCCTACTGGGTAATGGGTCGACAGCTCTGTCTAGAGCGTTTTATGTTGGAATCTTTAAGATTCGAATTGATGATTCACAAGCCGTCCTACTTGTCAGTCTTCCCAATCATGGTTGAATTTAATCTATACTTGTAACTTTGTGTATGCTAGTAAGAAGTGCTTCTGATCAATAACATAATTAAGCAATTAAAGATGGATTGTTTTGAACAGATAGAGGATGAGGGAGAGAAGAACGAATGATATGGAAGGAGGGAAGTGGAAGGGTTGATGCAGGATCACCAAGTTCCCTCACTTTCCCACCACCAGCATCTGAATCAAACCAAATGACGACGAGTTTCTAGGCTTAGACTGACGTTTTTCTCATGCTGCAATATAGAAGTAAACCAACAGACCAAAAAAAAACTTAAATGACTATTTTTTTTTTAATCTTTGTATTAATATCCTGAAATTTCACAAAAGTTGAAGACCAGCGCATAACGTAGTTCTTACATTGCTCTTAGGGCATTTAAAATTTGGCTCTCAGAATTTGTTCTTCCGAAGAACCAGAACCTAAACTTGTTTTCCAAGTCAAGTGATCTCTATTATCTTCACCGCAAGGGTTAGAGGAGGACGAAATTACTTCAATTATGGGACAGAACACAAATACGGTTTACCATTTTTGAGAACGCGTGTATATTGATATTTTGGCCATGCCTGCTGAAACTAGGCTTCTGAAATCTTGCAGATGAGGTGTGTCATCTAATACAATACACCCAACTCGCAAGATATATTGACAGCGGGGCGTAAGGAGGTTAAATGGGCATATAACATCTTGTCATTTTGTTATACTTAGTAATTGTATAATTGTCATTTTAATCATTAATTAAGAATCTTATAATATTTCACTGGCCAATATCATCATCATCATTTATTATTAATTGTATTGTAAAAGGCTTAAACATAATTCTCCCCAAGGCCTGTTGAAACTAAAAAGCGCGTTTACCATGTCACACACACACACACATACGGTTGTGATGGAATCCAGTGCCAGTTTTTGTACCCAGCTAATGTATTTTTGACTTTGTGTCGTGCATTCATGTTTACTTGAACATGGACACATTCATCGTCAATTCAGCCGCAATAAACCTAACTTAGGACCCATTTGTTTAAATTAAAAAATGATTTTAATTAAGCTAAATATTAAAAATTTGTTTTTTAATTGTTTAATTTTTTTTTTAAAACGATCATTTTCAGGAAAAATGTTTTCAACTTATTATAATAAGCAAGCTACTCGGATTATTTTTTTTTAGAATAAATAATTTTTTAATTTTTTTACATCCTTTTTCCTTTAAAGATTTTTTGAACTGAGCTAGGAAATCATTACCCTTATAAATAATTTCAAAATCACCTTTTTTCCCCATTTTGAACAAACAAAGCCTTTGTTTTTACTCTTCAGCCACAAGCCCACAACCTTACATAACTTTTTTTTTTTTGGGATAACAAAAAACAGTAAGACACTTTGCAAAATAACATGAAACTACCATACATTACAAGTCAAACTATTATTATACCTGAGAGGAGACGTGTTGAAAATCTTAAAATCCTTAATAGTGTTGGTTAAAAGATTATTCAACGTATAATTAATGAATTTTCTTTTCCAAAAGTGACGTTAATAAATAGATCATTTAATTTTGTATTTATTTTAAATAAAATATCCTATCAAATAAGGATAAGTATGAAAAAATAGTATTAATTGAAAGACAGTTAACTAATTTATTAAGTAGTGAGATTTTATTAAAAATACTTAATATTTTGAATGGAGTAAGTCATAATTACTGCTCCCATATTAATTTATAAAACACTTTTAGATAAAATTATACATACTAATAAAACTAAATAAATACACTTTACTACCTTATTTTTTTAAAATAAAAATATAAATTTTTAAAAATACTCTTTATTTAATACTCTATTTATAAAAAATATGAAAAATATTAATTTTAAAAAAGATAAAATATGAGAAGGAAAATATTAAAAAAATATTATTAATAAACATATTATTTTTTAAAGTGTCTTATATTTTAAGATGCTTAATTTTTTAAGAGTGTCTTATAAATTAAAATTTTAAAGTACTTTAAAAAAACTTTAAAAATGTTTTTTGGGAAGTCAAAGGTACTGCTCATATTTTAAATTCATTACCGATGCTTTTCTTAACGTTGTTGTCATAATTAACTGTAACCCTATTAGAAAGCTATAATTCGGCATGCATGTTACTCCTCAAGTGACTTTTTTTTTTTTTAATAATATGATGCTTATCATCCAAAATTTATAAAATTAAGATGAAAGACTTTAAATTTTTGTCTTTTTAAGTGTTAGTATTGATTGCTTTATATAACTCTCCTTCATATCAAATTATACTTTACTCTCAGACCTCGACTAATCTCGTTGGATTTTTAAAAAAATTACAGTTTATCATATTTTATTATATATTTAAAGAAGTTATTTATTTTTTACAAAAAATTGTTATCATTATAATTATTGATTTAATTTTTTAAATTCACATTTTGACAATATGATGGGATGTGAGTGAATTTTAAAATATATGCAATTTATATCGAAGTGTAAAATTATTTTCTACAAAAAAATTTAAAAATTTAAATTTTAAACTAATATATAGGATATAATAATAAATTAATTATTACCTCCCCTCCTAAATCAAACAAAGGATCATTAAAAATTCCTTTATCTTCTCTCATCTAACAAAATAAAATAAGATAACATTAAAACCCTTCTCTCCCTCTCTCGAATAAACACACCCTAAGTTGTCTGCTAAATTTTGTCATTAATTGATGTTATAGTGTTGCTTCCTCCTTCATAATTAAAATATTTATTCGGTTAAAATTTTAATATTTTTTAAAATAATTGCCACTTTAGAATCAGGGTACAGCAAAGCATTAATTATTTTTAAAATATTTTATTATTATTAATAAAAACAATAATATATGGGTAAGTGCTTTAAGAAAATAAAACAAATAAAGAGTATTTTTTGTAAGTAAGATTATTCCTGTTAGACATTATTAATTTTTTATAATAATGGCTATTTAATGTTATTTCTTGATCTTCATACGTAATATCAAATGCGATACTCTTGCTTCTATAGCTGTAAGGATCTTGATGATATCTCTGTATAAGTTCTCTTTATGCCTGGAAGTATGTCTTGGTTTGGGTGAATCTCTAAACCTAATTTATCTAAAAAATTTTATAAAATAAATGAGACATACTTTGAAATGATGGGATCAGTATTCATTTTCAATCATATATACTTGACGTGTGACACATATTGCACTCGTAATATTAGTAGATGACATGTTTTGAAATATGTGGTGGGCATACCAATGAGAAAGGGAAAACGACCAGCAGAATATTGATCATTATTTTATGAAAAAAAATTACTATTTAAAGGACGTAGAGAAAAGTAGAAAGAAAATTAGGATAGAGAAAACTAGAAAGAAGAATTTTTGAAAACAATAAATTTCTTTATTACTTTTAAAAGATTTCTCTCCTAGTCCTGTTATTTTTTCCTCCATTCAAATAAATGATAAATGTTTAATGGGGAGAAAAATAGAAAAGGTCAAAAAAAAATAGCCGCCGCTCGATTGTGTGTGGTTTGAGCTCGGGCTTCGTCTCCATTTTCGACAAACTATGTATCATCAATAAATGTGAAAACTGATTTATATATCAATAAAAAAAATAAAAAATTCACATTGTACCTCCTGAGAGCATGATAGATTCGTTGTATAGGGATCCTGTGGGGTTTGCTGACCTACGTCCGATTCTGATGTAAATGCCGTTTCTCTTGGCAATTGGCCGCTGATTACCCAAAAAAAAAAAAAATTAAATTGCATGATGCTCCTCTAATCATTTTTATAAATTATTTCTATCAATTTTATCAATATTAATATAAAAAAATATAAAAAATAAAAGTGTATAAAATTTGAAATACACCTTTATATAATGAATTTAAAAAATAATGTTATGTTAAAAATAATATTTTTTCTTTTTCTCTCTCATAAAGATAATTAAAAATACTTTTTAAATATTATTTAAAAAGATGCACAATAACTTATAAATTGAATCAAATAGACTTTTTAAAGTACTGTTTTGGTCTTATTTATAGGGCAAAGAGAGAAGAATTTTTTTAATCTTATTTTAAACACGTCATCATTTTTTCACAAATTTTTTCTTTTATCGTCCATTGAATGTTGGAGAGATAAAATATTTTATTAAAAAATATATTTAATAGGGACAAAATTAATAATTTATTAAATTTTAAGATAAATTAACAAGTTTTAAAATTTTTTTAGTACTAATAAAACATGTTGAAAGTTATTTATAAATAGAATCAAAAAAATATTTCTTACAAATGAGATCGGAGATGGTAACAAATATTGTATCATATGAATGCAGAGAAGAAAATATCTCCTTTGAACTTTATTGAAATTTTTTATTCAAAAGAACTAGAAAAATGGTAACATGCATCTTTTATATAACAATTTAAATTGATAAAACATAATTATTAATTCTATAATTTTATCTAATTTTACTTTTAATCCCTATAATTTTTTTAATGTTTTTAATCCTTATAAGAATTAAAACTATTGAAAATAATGAAATTATAAGGATTTGAATAACAAATATTACTCAAACTTTTGGAAATTATAGGGATTAAAAGTGAAAACATTAAAAAAACTATAAATATTAAAAATAAAATTTAATAAAATTATAAGAACTGATAATTATATTTTTTTATTTAAAATTTAACTTTCTCATGCATAGGCACGTTTGATTGTTTATTTATGTCGTCTATCCTTGTTCTCATCTCTTTATCATTTTATTAT